AAAAAAAAAAAAAAAAAAAGTAAAAAAAGAAATAAAAAATATTTGTCGGCGATTTTGTAGCTATAATTCGAAAAAGGAAACCTTTTCCTTTTTGTTTTTTTAATACAAAAATACGGCTTCCGTACGTCTTTGCGATGTACAATGACACTCACCAGCTATTGTATTATACTGTATATATACATACATTACTCGTATATATATACAGCGACCTTTCCCAATAATCCCCAAATTAGGGAGAGAAAACCTAAGAATTCATAGAGAGAGAGAAAACATGGTGAGGACGAAGCAGGAAATCAAGCCGATCGAGGACAAGGCCAAGCGGCACACGACGTTCACCAAGCGGCGGCAGGGACTCATCAAGAAGGCGCAGACCTTCGCCGCCAAGTTCGACGCGCAGGCGGCGGTCGTCGCTTTTTCCAAGGCCGGGAACGTCTTCGCCTTCGGCGACCCGTCCGTGGAAGGCGTGGTCGACCGATATCTCGCCGCGGCGGAGGAGGATGTGGAGGTGGAGGAGGGGGGGAGGAGAGCGGCAGCGGGGTTGGCCGGGGAGGAGGCGCTGAGGGTAATCGGGGAGGCGCTGAGGGCGGGGAGCTGGGGCGCAGCGATAGAGGGCCTGGACGAGGCGGGGATCGACTGCGTGGCGGGGGAGATTGCGAGGATCAAGAGGGCGGTGGCGGCGCGTGCGGCGGAGGTAGCGGCGCTCGAGGGTGAGGGGAAGGATGGAAGTCCGGAGGGAGGCTCCGGCGGGAGTACGGCGGTGGAGTCCCCGGTCGGTGGGGTTTTTGGCGGGAAGTTGTGATTCACTGATTCTGGAAAGTTCTTTAATTTTTGGCAAAAAAAAAATAAAAAATAAAATAAACGGGAAATGCGTTATTCATCACTCGTATTTGTAAAATTTTGCCTTTGAATAGTAATAGTTTTTAATATTCAAATTTTATTTGAATAGTGAATACGAATTCAAATATACACATACTTTGATTAACAATTATTAAATATTCAATTCGTTAATTATAATTGCATGAAATAAATATGTATGATGACTACAACGGAGTATGAGGAGTGTTTTGTATGTGATCTTCAGAAGATCATACATGTAGTGTAGAGGTATGGAGAATAATAGTGGTAAATTGTGATGTTATGGTCGTGATGATTGACCTTGTACTTGTGACGAACTCGAGGTTCAGTATTTATACACTAAAAAAGTGACGGTTCATTAAGTGCAGAATGTCAGTACGGACGTATGTTAGCGTCATGTGTTTCCATGCATAAGTGGATGAGAAGGTAAGGCAATGCTATCAACTTTATCGATGTATGTTCAGATCGTAAACACAATCGTCAATCTTCCCTCAGAAGCTTCTGTCGGTGATTGGCAGGTCGATCGGATGATCGACAGTGTGTAACATTATATTTATGTATATATTCATATTTTAATATATATATATATATATGTATTTGTAAATAATTTATGAAATATATATATATATATGTATTTGTAAATAATTTATGAAAACAAATATTGAGTCAAATGGAATATATTTGATAATTTTAATCCAATCACAGTTAAGAAAAAACTACCAATTTTGGACTATATTTTTAATTTGACATTCGTAGTTAAGAAAAACTACCACAACAGTAGGGTGCAAATGTCATTTTGAGAAAATGCATAATGTATGTTTCATGAAATATTTTAGAATAAAAGAAGTATTGTAAACTTCTATTTTTTATTTTCCTAATCATGTGTAAATTTATATTATTTAACATTCGTGTAATATTAGGCATATACTACGTAGTAAAAAATTATATTAACATTTAACAGTCTTTTCAGTTGCACGAGTAACATGAATATTGGTTTATAATTTCATGGGTAAGATGCATATTGATGGTTGATAGAGATATAAAATGTAAATTAAAACATAGAATAACTATAATAACATACATAGAATAACTGATTCAATTATCATATATTTAAATAGTAACTAATAAACTTATAAAATAACCAAATGTGCAAATATGTTGGGGTGATTTTTTATCTTTGCAAAAAAATATTAACCGAGTGTAAATATGTAATATAAAATATACTAGCACAACACCCGTGTATTACACGGGTGCTTGTTAGAAAATTATTCTTAAATTTTAAAATTAATGAGAAAACTATAATAAATTTAGTTTACTTTTTGTACAAAAAAAAAAAATATATTACTATATATTTTAGAATAATATGTGTTACTTATAACTTACGTATGTTATATTATATTAGTTTTTATAACTTATATCATATAACTACTTGGAATATAAATATATTAGTTCATAAATAATTTTATTTTTCTAATTAATATTAAAAATAATTTTATTATTGTTATAAAGATAATATAATTTTTTTTACATACAATATGGATGTTAATCGAAGCTCATCAAAAGAAGATTAATTTGATATATTACATATGTAAAACTGATAAAAAATACAAAAGTTATTAACTTTTTTAAAATATATATACAATTCAATAGTTATAATAAGGAATGATATTAAAATGCAATTAATACATGTAACATGACCATAAATAATCAACATATTTATGGTAATCGGAACCTAATTATTTTTTGGTTTGGAATTGAATTAAAATTTACCCAAGTCTAATAACGAAGCATGTAGTTTTGCCACATAGAATTCCGAAGCACCAGAAGCAGCCACGTAGGCTCAGCGCGTTCTGAATTAATATATAGGGGGATATAGGGGGATTTGATATTATGAGGTGTAAATTCCTCTATTAAAAATAATTTGAGTATTCAATCACTCGAGTGTAACTTTTATTATTCTGTTGAGATCTCACACTCGTGCATTACCCTGTTGGGGTCGTCTTTGTGTTTTGTTCTAGTTTTTAGTGTCATAGTTTGTTGTGTTCCCGAGGATTATCCCATTGAAATCGGCTCTAGGCAGTCTGTTGATTGTCTTCCTACTTTTATTCAGCTATTGGTTGCTTGTATTCAGCCGGTGGCTGCTCCTTTACACACTTGTGCGTATTTATATAATGCATCTCGTTTCGAAAAAAAATAAAATAAAATAAAAATTCACCCAAAATCATCAAAGAGTTCCACTGGATGGCCCAACATTACATAGGCCCAACATATCTTTGTCCTTAAGAACCCATAAAAAAGCATCATCTACATTTTTCACTGCTTAGAAGTTCCTCAAGCAATAGCAAAAATGGGAATTAATGTTCAAATTCATAAGTACCCCGAGAATCCCATGTCTGTAGTTTCATCATCCTTCACCAAAGATCGTAACTTTCGGATAAAACATTTCAAGCATTTCCATTTAAAAATCTGGGGTGCAGCTAAAAATGGCGGAAATTTTACAAGATTTGGAAGGAACACGAATGGCACTTTATTTGTATGTAATGGGGTTTTTGTTTCCAGTGGATTATTGGGCACAGAATGTCGACTCTCCTGATGAAGAAACGGGGGTTGACGGGTGCGGTCTATGAATGGGAGTTGACGGGTGCAGTTCTATAGACGTGAAGCGCACCAAAGCAGGGGTGGGCTTTAACGAGGTTCTATCGTAAAACTAATTGGTGCGAGGAGTAGCTCATTAGACTCATAAGGTAGGTCTATTTTGTATGAACGATATGGACAACTCACAAATATTCTAACACTGTTCTAGCTTCTCAGCTTTCAGCTTTTTCTCTGTTGCCTTATCTTGGTTTCTTGTATTTTATCACCAAATCCAAATCTGCCCCAAGACTCACCCTTTTTGGATTCTACTTCTTGCTTGCTTTTGTAGCTGCTGCAAGTAAGTTACTCTTGTTGCTTTCTATGGTTATTCATTTATTAATTAGTAGCAGTTTTTATTTGATGCTTAGCCACAATATGGAGCAATTGTCATCTTCATTTCCATGTAGTAGCTAGCTAGTTATTGTTCTTCTGTAATTGCTCTATGTTGTAGGCTAAATCAGTTGTCTAATTTCGATAATAATAATAATGTTGGTGATTTTGTGTTTGAGGTTAACTTTTAGAGTAAGAATTGTGCTGTGTAGAAAAGAAAAAAATGAAAATCACTTGTCAAACGAAATGCCGGTTTGTGCTTTGGATTTTTCGTTCGGCTCGTGGTTTGGTTTATGCGCTGGAATAAACCACTGCCATCACTGATTAACCAAATTGAAGTAATATATCTCTTTTAAGCCAAACGTAATGCATTGTTCGAGTAGTTCTTTTAATCAAGAAATATCTAAGTGGGTATCTTGTATTATATTTTTGCTTTCGCATCACTTCCGTTGGGCAGTACCAGCAGGAATTTATGGTAAACTTTTCTCTACAAGACATGTTTGGTAGGTAGTTATCTGAATCAAACTCTGCACTTTTTTTAACCATCAGCAAATTTTCGAATTTGCACTTTTCGGACAGCAAAGGTGCATTACGCGACATCCTTGTCGAATGTCGACTGGCTGCATGGTGGGGCCAAGTCACTACTCATGGTTACCAACCTATTTATCGTGTTGGGCCTGCCCTTCGAAAAGTTGAAGATAAATCAGAAAACACACCAAGTGTCACTTCTCAAATCAAAGATGAGGAGAAGTCATTAGTCTAGGCTTTGATAGACCTGTTTATTCTCACATACTCCAAAATATTGCTCTGTTGCGACGTTTTCATGATGGATTTTTGGAATTCGATTAGTGATATTGGAGCTTCTAATGCTTCTTTAATCTTTCGTGGATTCTGTAATCGAGTTGACGTTTTTTACCTTCAAGAAGAAAGCAATTTGGCATGCTCTTTTTTTCTTATTTTTCTTGCAGTTTTATGAATCTTGTACTAAAGAATCAGTACATCCTTGTTCCCAGCTTTAATCGGAACATAGGTTTCCAATATTTTTTTTTTTCTACAACTTTTATTTCCTAGCTTCAATCTCTTACAATACAAATACAGACGAATATCGGCAATAATGTCCTTCCCTATTATTTATAGTGCACTTAGTAACCTATTTCCTCTTTTATCTTTTTTCACCCTATGAACTGAACTTCACATTAAATATCCGGAGCAGTTGGATGTGAAATTCGGAGCCAAACCGAACTGGTCAGCTTGAAACTCCATGCCTCCAATCGGAGAACTAGTCGTGGAAGCTTGTGCCGATATGATCTCGTTAATATTATATTCTCGATTTTGATAATTATAACCTCCACCACCAAATCCTTGCACTTGATAAGTCTCGACGGGCGAAAAGTAACTCGTGCCGGATGTTGCTGGAGATAAAAACAGACTAGACTGCGAGCCCAAATGATCTTCTTCTCCCATTAGGGAGGCTAAGGGTAAGTCGTAAATTTCCTCGTACATCGTGGGGAACGAAAACTGAGGTTGCGACGTCTCGTATTTGTTGTTAATAATAATGTTGTCGTTTTTGTTGTTCTCCGAATTGTCGGTAGTCACTCGGAGGTTAGCTTTGAAGCTCAAAAGTGTTTGCTTACTATGTTGCTCCTGTGTTTGATGGGCCGACTGGTTGCTGCACGTGTGGGCCCCTTTGTACGTGACCTCAAACACGTTCGGGTCGGAGTCCGATCGTTGGACTTGCTTTGAGGCCCAACAGTTTTGGGCGTGCCGGTAAGTGCACCGATAGTAGCTTCTGTTGGAGTTATACATTGAATAAATTCTTTCTGTTAGATTTCTTTCACATGTTTATGTTTGAAAGAACACAAAGAGAGAATTTAAAACTTATAGAAACCTTGGATATTTGGCCCCTAAAATGTCCTTTTGCCCATATTTTCTCCAACTAAACCCATCATCACTTGGCCCATCAAGACCAGTCTCAGAGTTGATCCTCACTTGCTCTGTCCACTTAGGCTGAATCTTTCTGCCACATCACCAAAAAAAAATGTTATAACCAGAAACAAAATATAAAAATTGAATCTTTTTTTGGTTCCAGATGGTGAAAATTGTTTTACCTCTTCTTTGTTGCAGCAAGTTCTTGATGACCCCTCGAGTTCTTATTCAAATTATCGCTGCTCCTCGGGCTCCCATCAGCCGAAAGACCCGAAACTGACGACTCGGGCCCGCCCGATATTAGTGTCGGGACTTGGGTCTGCCCCGCTGGCGACCCGTTCCATTTCAAAATCGACAGGGCCTTCTCATAAGACGATAATATCCTCTGCAGCAGTAGTTCTTGCTCTTCGTCGAGCGAAGACGAGCAAAGATGAAAATGGAGCAGCTTGGCTTTTTCCATCCCTTGAGTGAGCTCATTGATTAATGTGGTGTATTCCCATGGTAAGTTCAAGCTACTGTCCATTTTTTTTTTTTCTACTTTTGATTCTTTCCTATTTTTTTTGTGATTGATCTTTTATCTTGAGAAGCTATAGAGTGTCAAATATTTTTCTTCTTTGATTGAAAAATATTATTTTGCTGCCAAAAAACTAGGATTCAAGAGCTTATATATATATATATATATAGAAGTTTTGCCTTTTTTTTTTGTGTGTGTGTGAAGAAGTGTTTGAAGTGGGGAAATCAAATGGAGGTGAATTTAAAGAAGCCCTTTACTGATTATTTGAATTTTTGATATTATAATTATTATTATTTAATCCTAACAATTGCTGATTGGATGGAATTAAAATGAGGTGGACAAAGAGTGGTGGAGTCAAAAGTTTGACTGGAGAAAACGAGTATGCTTGGACTAGTCAGCTTGGTCAACATATTGTGAGTGTGTTACTGTGTGAGGTCCAAATGCTGACCAATTCAAATTCAAATAACATATTGATTATTTGAGTTTGTGTGTGTAATTAGAGTAACAAATGCTGCAAAAATATTAGGAAAAGCAAAATAAAATAAATAAATAAACTTAGGGTCCTTGACAAATGACAAGTATATGAATTTAATGCAAGATTCTTTAAGGATCTTGTGGAGTAGATAGGGGAATAAAATTTTGGGTAAATTTTTTTTTTTTTTTTTTTTTTTTTTGTAACTTGTACTATGAGCGAATTTGGGATTTGCAAGCTAAAGAATATTTTGTACTACATTGCAGCCTTTAATACACGACTTTGTCTGTATCGCAACCTACGTCCATCGGCGGCTTGTTTTTCCACCGGAAAACTGAGTGTGCGAGTCGCACGCTTGGAAATTGAGGGTAAATTGAGTGTGCAAGCGTGCGAGTCGGACGCTTGAAAGTCGCAGGTGAAGAAGAAAAGAAAAATGAAGAACTAAAGCGCGCGTTTTTGTTTTTGTATAAATTTGCTCAGACGGTGAAATGACGATGTTGTCCTTCAAATTTAATTCAAAATGGCAAATTTCCCTCAATTTTTGAGCGTGCAACTTGCGCGCTCGCTTTTCCGGTGGAAAGCAAGCCGTCGATAGACGGATGTTGCAATACATGCAAAGTCGTGTATTAAAGGTTGCAATATAGTACAAAATATTCTCTAGGTTGCAAATCTCAAATTCGCGCATAGTACAGGTTGCAAAAAATAATTTACCCTAATATTTTTTATTTTTTAGATATTGATTTATGAGAGAAAATGGCAATGTAGCTTGATAAAAAGTAGGACTAGCCAGTCAAATTAAACTGAAAAAAAAAAAACATATATATATACATATATATATTAATGTGTGACACATCTTACTTTTTTAATTCAGATATATACTTATAATGTTGCAAGATTTTCATACTCTATTCATCTATTGTTGTTCTTCTCTAGAGTGGCATTTCAATTACAAGTATTTAAATTTATTGAATTATCACTTCCAAATAACAACTTCATATATTGTAATGTGAAGTGTTCTATAATTTACATTAGTAGAATACAATACTACAACTTGTAAGTGATATGGCATCTGACCAATTCAAAACCTCTAGAAAAAATTGCCATCATGTGCTAAATGTTTTTTTTTTCTTTTTTTTTAATGAATATTATACCAAGTCAAATGTTCAAGTGATGTGAAGATTCTTCAAGCCTCCTCTATTTTATTTTATTTTATTATTTTGTATGCAACAATTGACAAAATTTAGCTGATTTAGAGGAGCTGATATGAAATTAGTGTCATGGGCTTACATATTTAAATTTAACTACTAAAAATGGTTATTTTTTGACAGATAATTGTAGCTTACATATTTAATTTACAATTTTTCAGTTTTTTTTTTAATTGTTTATCCATTTTAAAATGATAAAAGCTTCAGTTTTATAATAAGTAGTTGCTAAAATTATAAAATATGATTCAATTAATAGTTTAAATAAATCAATTAGGAATTCATGAAAAGGGTGACTTGAAATTTTAAAATATATAATTTTGTCAATTTTTTAATGAGATGAAATTTCATGGTATATTTGTAAGTCCCAATTTCAAACATGGGAGGAAAAGATGATGAAATTCCTCAATTTGGAGTGTGACCAAGTCTTTGTTGAGGCTATTCCACTGTCTTTATTATAATGGACTATCATAATTCTAGTGTGTGCAACCAATCAACAACTTCCACGTATTAATCTTTTTTATGTTGGAATATATATATACATACTAAATTTAATAATATTTTTCTTCCAAATTCAAATGTTATTGTTATCGTACTGGAAAAATTTCAACTTTAGTCTACTAAAGTTGAATGATGTCGCTTAAGCAAGATCTCGGGTTCGAGTCATTGGGGATGCAGAAAACCCTTCTTCGAAGACTCACAAACCACTGCCAGGTGTTTGACCCGAGTCGACCAACAAATTAGTCGGGGCATAGTTTCGAATCTTGTGGCTCATTACAAAAAAATATAGTTGATTGTTTCACATTTTTTCTCCACATTTCTTTTTTGTGGGTAATAACTTTCATTTTGTGTCATTTTCATGATTCCTTCCCAATGAAAAGCGGGCTGAACTTTAAAATTAAAATCACAAACACGAAAACTAAAATAAAATGAAATGCTTTTAGATAGAGGAAAGATAAACAAAATGTCATTCACTACTATGAAAGTTAGACAAAGGTTACTTTCATGATGGATGTATTAGAATGAGACTCAATATACATATTTGTCATCCTTGTTAATTTTTCTAAAGTGAGATTTAATTAGCACAAAACAATTCCTTTTTCTATTATTTACTAATTTTATTATTTCATAATCTTTCAAACATATTTTAAAAATAATATTCAATAATTACTATACATTTTTCAATAAAAAGGTTAAACCCACTAGCATAGTTTTAAATACAAATAATTATAAATTAACATTACATTATTATTATTATTATTATTATTATTATTATTATTATTATTATTATTATTATTATTATTATATTGTATCAATTATAACACTTACATATTTATCTTATATTCATTAACAATTTCAAAATTATTATTAGTTTATTAATCCAAATTATTCCCTCTCATTCCATCTCTTCTATTGGACCCAAAATCATTGCATTGGTACCAACAATAAAATTACATGAAAGAAAATATCAAACACTACTCAAAAGAAATAAACTTAATAATTCTATAATTCAAACTTTGAAATTACTGACATATAATACCATAAAATGCAGATAAGGTTATAAATTTTCTCAATTCATACTCAATACATGCTCAAAATTTAACTCATCACTATCTTCAATATTACTAATATAACTAAATAATACGAATCAATTATTCTTACACATCACATCAACTTAATTCACTATTCATCCAGACACGTAATTTTAACTAACAATCACTTCACATCATATCTCTCATACTTTTACATCAAATTAACTTTAATTATTTTATTTTAAATATTATTTTAATACAAACTCAAAATCTCACTAATAACTAACTGTACCACTTCCTGATTAACCAAAAAAACTCATTTTGAGCGGTATATTTGTATCCAAGCACGTCCTAAAACAGAGACATGTACATACACATGCATCGAACAACAAAACCACTGGTTGCAAAACAACCGATCTACAAGTCGACTCTAAACATTCCCGATTCAAGAAATTACGAGTCGTGCTGGCCAAACAAAAATTCGAATTATTATAGCAATGGTCCCATTTCCAGGCGAGTTGCTCTTGCAACATTTTAACATTTTTTTTTATCACCTTTTCTTCCCTTTGTTCATTCCTTTGACCTCTTTCTCTAAGCTCCTAACCTTTTGGCTTAGAATTGATGAAGATGGTATTTTGTGATTTCCGGGTTTTGGTGATGACTTGTCGGGTGGAGATGAAGAATGTTGTTGTTGTTGTCGTTGTTGGGCTTCCCTGTACTTCATTAGAATTTCGGAAAGTGGTGGGACCACAGGTATAATCGGTATGCCCAATAACTTCTTCACCTCAGGCTTCCTCAGCACTGATTAAAAGCCGACGATAGGAGGCGAAGAACACGGAAAAAGAACCAAAAAGAAATGAAATTAAAAGCTATTGGTGAATACTTTGAAAAATAAAAGCACAAAAATTAATCCGTTGAAGAAGAAAAAGCGGACACTCACGAACCTTCTACTGTTGATTCGTTGAAGTTAAACATAACATAGGGAATATTTCAAAACCGAATGTAACTAACAATATGTATTTCCTTTTTATATATGCATCTATTTAGACAAATCGTTAAACTAACACAAATATATCCCAACAGGGGATAAGATAAAGGGGACTTTCTAATATGCTGAAAGCCTGAAATGTTACAGTACTTTTTCCATAGTAACTCCAATAAACTTTTGTGATGGAAAATTAAAATGGGACTCACATAGCGAACATGCGATAGAGAACAAGTTGGAGGGGATCCAATAGCAAAACAGAGCCTGCACATGCAAATATGGTAAAATTAATGCAATTGCGTGAAAACAAATTATCACGACTGATCTGAAGGGAATTAGAACACGGTAGAACTCGTGAAAACACTTTAAACTCGCAAGCACATACCTTCGGGAAACTTGCAGTGCAAGGAACTGTCAAAACTGCAAATATTCTCCACAAATTTCTAAAAATGCTAGAAGTAAGGCTGCCTGCTGGTCCTTGCAGATTCAACTGTAAGGGAAAATTGGTTAGAACTCGTATATATATATGTGTGTGTGTGTGTGTGTGTGTATATAAAGCACTAGGCAAAATATAGTTATTGATCAATACTATTAAGATCTCAAATACTGTGAAAGAATCACTTAAGTAGCTCGAACGTAAATCAGCAACATGTGATACAAGATAATTTTCATTATATTTATTAGTTCAGTAGTCCAAATACAACACTAAATAGTGAAGAGAATTTAGACGAACAGCCATTGGAGCAATTTTATAAGGGTAAATTATTTTTTGCAACCTGTACTATACGCGAATTTGGGATTTGTAACCTAGAGAATATTTTGTACTATATTGCAACCTTTACTACACAACTTTGCATGTATTGCAATCTCCGTCCGTCGACGGCTTGTTTTCCACCGGAAAAGCAAGCGTGCAAGTCGCACGCTCAAAAATTGAGGGTAAATTTGCCATTTTGAATTACATTTGAAGGACAACATCGTCATTTCACCGTCTGAGCAGATTTATACAAAAACAAAAATGCGCGCTTTAGTTCTTCATTTTTCTTTTCTTCTTCACCTGCGACTTTCAAGCGTGCGACTCGCACGCTCGCACACTCAATTTACCCTCAATTTCCAAGCGTGCGACTCGCACACTCAGTTTTTCAGTGGAAAAACAAGCCGCCGATGGACGTAGGTTGCGATACAGACAAAGTCGTGTATTAAAGGCTGCAATGTAGTACAAAATATTCTTTAGGTTGCAAATCTCAAATTCGCGCATAGTACAGGTTGCAAAAATAAATTTACCCATTTTATAATCATAGCTTGACAAAATATTAAGTATATATAACCTCCAGATTAATCCAAAACGTCAATGCCGTTAAAACAGGGAAAATATACGTGGTATCTTGAGTAGTCAAATCAGTAAACCACAATATCCCTCCCTGTCTAAAAGAGGGAACGTTTGCTGCCATGTTTCTAACCTGCGGACAATGATGACATGGAGTTTTCAATCAGTGATAAAATAACGAAGGGAGAATAATAGAAAAGAGATGGGCATAGATGCCACATGCTACTGAAAGCACATAGAATTTGATCTCACAGCCAAAAAGTAACAGCAAGTGATTGGAATTGTGATTAGAAATCCCTTCCAAGAAGAGAATGGTGTGACACCATATCTACATAAAACAAACAATAAATCATATAAATAAACAATGATTCTAATTCGAGATTGTACAGAAGAAGTACATAAAAAAACAAAAGAAGTTTATTGTCATATAACTTGTGACCAAAAACATATGTAGTCTAAGGCTATGTTTGATAAAACTAGCTGATAAAGCTAGCTTATAGCTTATAAGTGATTTTCGAGCTTATAGCTTACGACTTATAGTTAAAAAGTTAGCTTATATTACAAAAGTATTTGGTAAAAATTAGCTGATGAGCTAGTTGATTAAAATTTCAACGAGCTTATTTGAAAAGCTACTCAAAGAAGCTTTATGAGATAAACTTGAGCTTTTTAAAAAAGCTCGTCCAACCAAACGAAACTTATTTGAATACAGGAAGCTTATAAGGTAACCAAATAAGCTATAAGCTAGCTTAGTTGTCTACCAAACATAGCCTAAAGCTACATTCATAGTACATGCTCACACATTTTCTCTTTTTTTCTAGGAGCTGCAATATTCAGCTTTTCAAGTAAAGGTTAAAAACAATGTTTCCTGTTTTTATAGATACCACGTGAAAGTGAAATAAGAAACATTTACAATGCCCTCACAACTTAGGAGTACGGGAAAGCTACATACTTCTTGTGTACTTCTTTTATCCGTGCCCGACCTTCGGCAGGACTCATACCCTGGAAACAAACAGTGAGTGGTAATCAACATTATTAAAAAAACAGACCACAAACAAAGTACCATAGAAGTTTGGAAGACCTACATAGAATAATACAATAAAGGCAGATGTTCAAGTTCATTTCTTAAAGAGAAAATATGAGTCTGATGGCCATACCCTGCTTCGCGCGTCTGCCTTAATCAACTCCAACAATGGTGTTAAAAGCTGCATAAGAAATAAGTTGGTATGAGAGAGTGATGCAAAAACTGCAAAATATAGATAGAGAGGAATAGCATAGCAACATCCATTTAGCACAACATAGGATGAGTGCGCACTCACACAAACACACGCGCGCGCACACACACACACACCAAAAAAAAGGAGAAGCAGAAGAAGAAGACAAAGAAGGAGGGTAAACCTCAATTAATATGTTTGTTTTTAGGTCATTAGTTTTCCTTTCTTGTGTTGTAGAAATCATCTTGAAAAGGTAAAACCGAGTGTACAAGTTTTATGTGTAGGCAAATATTCCTCCTCCATTTGGCTAAGCCCGTGATGGGGGTAAGTGGTAATTACTCCACCTTAATTGTACGAGATTCTTATACTGATCTTTTGTTTATCTATTGGCCGAAAAGGAAAACCAAGGCAAGAATATAAGCTGTAGGCACTGTTGAGTTTTTTCTGTACAATGGAGCACATTAGTTTGTTGGCTGCACTGTTCAGATGGTGCTTGTTTCACGACAATAAATGTTTTAAGAACTGACAAGTTTAATCACAGTATAGCATGAACTGAAGAAATAAGTTGCTAAATCAGGAATATCAAAATATATTCAAATAACCCCAAAAACTCAGTAAGGTAAACAGCCTGTGTAGAACTTACATAAAACTTCGTACTGGACTTTATTGAGTGAATCGTGACAGGAAGTTGAAAACAACGAAGCAAAAGAGTTGTCACGCCAATCGATGCCCACCTAAACACACCCAAATCCAAACCATCGATCACTTCAAAAAACCGCATGGGTATCCAACCCAAAAGAAAAAACTCACAACTGAATTGAAAAATTACACAGTATAATTATCAAAAAAGTCAAACAATCCAGATTACGATTAATAAGAGAAATAATCAAACTGATCAATCACATGAGTTTCTGAAGCACGGCATAATTTCTCAGTTATCCATCAAGCGAAGCCAATACTAAGCCAAATGTAATACCACAAAGCTCAACCGGAACATTGACTTATCAAATCACACTCCACATCCGAAAAACTCCCGGTATTTTAAATCAAAGTTATTTAAAAGGACACTACTGAAATTTAGAAACGAATAGACTCTATGTCATCCTCACCAATTAAGTAGATGTTTCTAAAGCAGATTATGACAAATAAGAGGAACAATAAAAAAAGGCAACCAGTCCAGATTACAACTAATAAGAGAAAATAATCACACTGATCAATCACGTGGGTTTCTAAAGCACACCATAATTCTCAGTTTTCCATCAAGCAAAGCCAACACTAAGCCAAATGCAATACCATAAAGCTCAACCGAAACGTTTACTTAACAAATCACACTCCACAATACTGAAATTTATAAACGAATAAACGTTAATGTCATCCTCACCAACTAAGCCCAGTGTAACAATGCACGTAATCAATCAAATACTGGAGAGCGGCCACCGGAAGGAACGAATCAGCCGCTGCAATCGCCACCTCATTCGCCACCGGGCCCACTGCAATCGCCACCTCATTTGCCATCGGGCCCACCTCCGAAACAACCTCGGCAGCTTTATCCCCAAAAACATCTGCCATGTCGGTCATTACCTCGATCTCTTCAGGCTTCCTGTCTCCCAGACTCGACATGTTCCGAGTGAAAACCGGCCCCCAAGCCGCCGGAACAGCAAATCTCCGATCCTGAAAGAAATCCCTAGTCCTAATAAACGGGCCCATAATACCTACGCTCCCAAACGTGCCATTCTTGGTGTAGCTGAAGACATTAGGGTTTCTCGAAATGGGTTTATCGTGCAGCAGGCTTTCGCGGTCGTGGTGATGGAGATGAGGGTTTGAAAATGGAGCTACGACCCGCTGCTGTTGGTAAAGCAGCTTGGCTCGAGCGGTGACGCTGCGCCTGAAAGCCATTAGCTTTGCTTCCTACGAGGAAAAAACTGAAACAGAGTACGAGGATTTGCTTATTCCCTTGTTTTCAGGTGAGTGACAAAATTGGAATCCCTAATATAGCTTTGAATTATCTGTCAAAGGGTTAAAAAATCTGTGATCCGAAATGAAGAAATGAATGTATCACGACGCACGAAGCTGTTTATGCAGCTTTAGCGAAGTGCTCTGAGATGAGTGGGTTTTAGAGTGGTTTTACCGGTTTGATGGGTGACTGACCGCCGAGCGGATGTGGTTTTCCGGTCGTTTGGGGGACAGATATTATAACCTATTTCACAATTACGTACGTAAACGAGTCGACACGAGCTCGAGCCCTTTTTAGCTCGTTTATAAATATTAATGAATCGAGTTCGACCCTAAAAAATCGATTTCAAGATTTATCGAGTCGAACTATAAAACAATATGTTATATTTTTTAGTGTTATCGAGCCTAATCTAGCTTAGTTTCAACCAATAATTAAGAATTTCGCCACTTACTAATGACAATGCTAAACAATCAACAAAACTTTATTTACACTGGTTTACCATACTTCTAATTGTTTACTACATATCAAACAACTAATTATTTATTAAGTATTGTTGTATAACCAATTATTTTAATAAGCTAGTGTAAATTGTTAATTCATTCAACTAACAACTATTAAAACATTTTTCATACATAAATGCATTCGAGTTAAATTATAGGTCAAGTTATATGATTTCGGAATAATAATTTCACAACACGAACTGTTTATATAGGTATCGCACTCGATTTCAACAGCACTAGTACGGCACCCGCGCGTTGCGCGGTATGATATTAAATATATTGATGAATTATAATTTAATCGAATGACAATTTATTTACAATAATGTCACTTATTAGACATTTGAATAATTATAAATATAACATTAGTTGTAAGCGAATTGAGTTTATTATGATTACTATTGTCATTGAAAATATAAAATCTTTCGTTTATAACTCTAGAAACAACAATATGCTACTATTATAACTAAGCGCATGTTTTTTCAGCAACAATATCACATATAACAATAATAGTTGACTTTGATCAACTCACATTGTCTAAGACAACATAATAATAATTATCATCGTTGGAAATTAAATAGTATCCTTGAATTGGAAAACGTCAAGGATAATTGTAGAACAAAAAAAAAAAAAATCCGCGAAAATTTCACCTTTTATACATTAAAATTGTGTTCTTAGTTTTTTTGTTGAATTAAGAGAAAATTCTTCAATATCGTCATTATTCGTCAAGTCAATAACATATCGAGCAATTTGGAATGAAAATTATTTATAAAAGGAAGCTAATTAAACTTCTTGAAATATGCATTGAGATTTTCGCTGGAAAAATATTGAATTATTTAAATAAAATTTCATTGAAAAAGAAAAAGCAACTATAGCACACAATTTTTACTCCAACATACATGTAAATTGATTAATAGATTTTGATAGTTTTTTTTTCTATATATAAATTATTTACTATGAACACAAATTCACATCAATTTTAATTGCACAATAGATGTTAAATTACATATAATGTTTATAAGTTATAAATTTTGAAGCATGCCAATTTAGTTCCAAAAAATAACTTGCATGAAATTTTACATTTTGAAAAATTATTTATAAATATTATTTCTCAATTCACCCTCTTAGTCCTAACACATTGTGAAATTTATTTAATTTGTTCCAACTAAAAAAAGTTAGAGATGATATTGTTATGTTTTAAAAAGACTATTATTCTACTTTATATATATATATATATATAATGGCTTATTTTTTCAAAGTTAAGACCAATATTCAGTAAGTTAAAATATAAATTAAATTTTCTCTAACATAATTTTTTCGTCAATAAGTTTATATATTTCATCTATAATAACATTCAATAATAAATATATGCAAC